ACCTTGACAGAGACAAAGACGGACCAGAGAGGACCAGGAGCACCGAGGCCGGTCTGGTTTGTGTTTTAGTTTGATGGTCCTAACATTCAACAGTGGATTGTACGAGAGTGTTGCGTCGTCGCACTGCACCACCAAATCTTAAGGAGGCTTTTCCCACCGTCTGTGACCATCGGCAGTGTAACGATTGGACGGTCAGGGAAGAAACGCCACCCGGGTCACGTTCGTCATCTGGCAGAGTGACATCAGAGCGGAGAGAGAAATTCTCACCCAGATATCAAGAGGAGAGGCATGTGATGTGGATGAGTCTAATTAGGATTGTTGCTTCACAGATTTATAGCGCCACCTGAAGACTATCAGCTAAAAAGGTTGGGGTTTTTTTTTAGCTTCTAATGGTCTGAGATGACGGCTCCTGACGGCTGCTGCTGCTGCTGCTGCGACTGGGAACTTTCCGTCCCGTCTGAATGAGAAACATTAGTGCCAAGGATTGGTTTTTTTTTGGATTCTGGCATTTTGACAGCGAGTGTCCTCCCAGGACGGAATCAAGGACACAAACAGAGCGGGTAGATTGGCACATCACAAGAGAAATCCCCTCGGCTCGGAGTCTGAGTCGTGGGAGGATGGTGACACGAGAGGAGCAGATTTTCTGATCGACTGTTTAACAAGCTGTCAGAATATTGGATCAACCTCCCAACAATCTGCTGCAGTATTGGCCGACGACGCGTCATCTGTCAACTCACGGCTAATCTGGGCAGGATGAGGCGCCGGTGCCAGCGTTACTACGACGGATACGGAGGACGGCGTCGCTGTTATTTAACCTGTCACCACCACGACTGTGGCAGATCGCGATCCCACTGATAGCTGTTGCGTTATTGCTACCACCCTGTCCCTGCTCTTATACTGCAATAACACCAACACAGCAGGAGGAAGAGGAAGAGGAGGAGGAGTAGAAGGAGGCATCACTAATTCATAAGCTTAGATAGCTGCTAGAAGTCAGATTGGAGAGAGAACGTCGAGAGAAAGACTCAAAAAGAAACATGAATCCAAACTAGCCGGAGTCGGAGTCGTATCTTTCAAGGTTCAGTGACGTTTCCAGGACCTCTGGACGTCAGACACATCAGGGATTCTACAGTTTCTCACCTTCTGAAACATGGAGTTCATGTGAACATCCACCAGGCTGCAGCGTGCCGCGTGACATAACTGTGACCTCGAGATCTTGACTCGACCGTGAGTCCCAGGCTGTGGGGAAAAACCACCATGACACGTTCAAGTACACCAGCTTTCTGGTTGGTCGAATTTAAGACGATTCCAGTCAACAGGGACTTTAATGACAAAACTGCACTTCCTGTTTCCTGTTAGCGTCAGTCTGAAGAGCTAGCCGTCAGACTCTCGTCGACACTGGACTTTGGACTTCTATGCACTTCTTCTCCCTGATGGAGTAACTCCCTGTTTTTCGCTGCAGTTTTTAATCCCGATACTCTGTACTTCTGTGTCCACATCCAAGTCATGGGGAACTCCATGGGTTGTGTCAGGTCTCCTCAGGAAGGGGAGCTGGCACGGCCCCCCCCACTCTCACCAAAGAGGCGTCTGCGCTTCAGACGCAAGCACAAGGCCAAGAAGAAGCGGAAAGTAGAAGCAGAGAAAGAGAAAGAGGGCTACAAACGAGCCAACGACCCTGGGTCTGACGAAGACCTGGGAATAAAAAAACCTGCTGTAGACCCAGATCTCACCACCAGGGCTGGGACCCTCATCACAGTGCCTGACACCCGTACATCTCATTCCAAACATACCCTGCACAGCAATACTCTGTCCCAGTACTCGAGCTCTTCCAGCGCTGGTGTCGCCGCCCTTTTGGGCAACAGAATACTTGAAGCCTCCCCCAAACCCAGCCCGGCCTGGAGAGGAGTCTTTTGTCTCCCAGGACAGGAGGACACCTTCAGTGCCGTCATAGACGTCTCCAGCCTACCGAGCCAAACCACCACCACCACCCCTGTCAACACGGCCCCGGCCCTGGGCAGTACCACTCCGGGTGGAGGGAGGGTGCTCCGTGTCAGGGAGAAGGTCCAGGGG